GAAGCAGCACTGTACTCCACGCGGTACCCTTGCTGAAGTAATAGGGTGCACAGCCAACGATCTTCACCTGCAACACGGAACATGGTAGCAAAGCTATAAATCTTACACTTTGTCACTTTACCGTGGACATCAAGAAAATAAAAGCGGCATAGAGGATCAGACCTATATAACTTAGAAATATTAAGCCATATGTCAACAGTCATTTTTCAACATGCCGTCATCTTTCATTTCAAATTGTAATTCATGTTAATATCAACGTTGCGATCCAATATTCCTCTCATGTTAAATCAATGGATAACGCATGTTTTGTATTAAATATACTGTGTAAAATAACTTAATTGGTTTTTATTCAAAAGACCACTTCTGCCTACCTTGGTCGTATTGTAAGTAGTGTACAGCCTCGGTGGGAGTGGTCGCGTATTTCCGCATTACGTTGTCGTCCATGAGAGCAGAACCGCGAAACAAGCTGAAACATCCGGGGCTGCAGAGAACGCAACCAATCATATGTTCCGTTGCCTTCTGGAACCAATGAGAGACAGCGTACTCAAACTTCTGGTACCAAACCATAGGACCTTAAATAAAGAGGAGGAATTGAATGGTTGAAATTAAAAGAGAGGGGTAATGTCAAATAAAATAAAAAGGGGGTTTGCAAGAACTGGAAGATACATGAATATATATCCACATCTTTTATTTTATGCCAAGGTGGGAGATGTCTTAAAGAAGAGAAATTGTCTATGTAGGCTATGCTTTTGCTGTATACTCTCAAAGTAAATTAATTTGCCTTAATCGGCTCTGATTCATCTATACCTGATCCTATAGGGTGAATACGACCGCATGCAGCCCCCACGTTTTCGTTCCTCTTCATCAGGTCCACCAGAATCTGGACGGCCGAGGGCTGGAAGTCAACGTCGCCGTCAAGAGCGAGAAGAAAGGTGTTTTCAGCCAGCTTTCCAACCTGTTTTACGTTTTCTACCTTCTGCATCAGGCGGTAACCCAGGAAGTAGTAGAGATACATCACCTGAAATTATTGAAAAAATTGCGCAGATTTTTAAAATTTGGAATGCGTTTACCTTGACTATTAAACAAGTTCAAATTATCAGAAATAATGTCAGTATACAATAAAATATTAATTACTCTAAATTTACCTGACTCCATCTTTTTCTATGCCGTATCTTTGCTTTATCTTTAAGATGAGCCACCAACTTATTGCCACCAGGTAGCTGCCATACAAGACGACCCCCATATGGAGTTGGGATCTTCGTAGGAGGAGGGATGGACATTGGGATTCGGTGTATGGCACTGAAGATGATAAGTTCCACAAATTTTAAGAGTTCTTTGATTTCCAGGAAGTCATATTCTATTATATATTCAATTATCTGGATGTTGTCATGCCAAATTTATGTGATAATGAGGAGCTTTGCTACCTCCTGTAACAATTAAATTAAAAGTGAAAGTGAATAAATAATGTGTACGTGTGACAGAATTAAGTCACTGATACTCGTACGAAAGTATGAGTAGTAACTGGATTAAATGAACATATGTTGGTCAAAGTGAAAACGTAATAAATTGTATGTTTTGCAATTGTCCTATTTAAATTGGGTTATTTTTTTAAACCATCTGTAATGCATTATACAGGTATAAAATCAGTAATGTCAGTCAAGGCTCATACCTTGCAGCAATGTCCACAACACGAACCAATAGTTTGACAAAGTCGTTCACTGTGTAGTTAGGGTTGCCGTCTGCATGAGGAGTGAATGCATCATCAAAGAAAATGTGACCTAAACAGATTAAATAGAGTGGCTTATCGTGCAATATCGTTGAATGTGAATGTTTTGAAGTAAAAAGAAAGGTTACTCCATCAAACGAGGAGTTTATGATAAAAATCCACCAATGGTCCCCTCTTGAAGTTAGAATTTTGACTTGCTGAATTATTATACCCCACGCCAAGGGGGGAGGGGGGTCGGCTTGGCATACGCGGACCCCCTTGGATGTTGGTTTGTGGACAAGATAATTTTTCGATAAGTTTTAACGAAATTTTAGGATATACAGACATTAAGGAGGTAAAGAAGTAACTGCAATTTCAGCTGAATCCAGATCTCCTGAAATATTGCACCAGTATCTTCTTGTTATCTTACATTTTGCCTTGGCAGAGGTCTGCATTCCAGGAGTGTTCTCTAGTTATCTTTTTCTTTGCTCACCTTATTCCTTACTAACGATATTTTTTTTATTCCGAAATACATCCGTCTTTCTCTTTCATTTCGGATTCAGTCCAGAACCCTTGTCGTTTTCTCCGATCATACCAACAACAAAAGTTTTAATTTTAGATCTTACCTTCAAACTCATAATAATCCGGGTCATTTACGTCGAAATATTGCTGCGCCAGGCGACGGGAGCACTGGTCCATGTCAAGTCTTCATGCGCACAAGAAATAGACACATTTTACAATTTTAAATGTTTACTTTTTTAACAAATAAAAAGGCAAAAGAATCAAAATTTTAATTTTGTAAAATCACTGATCGATACACAAGTGTATGTAGCAGATGCCACAAAATTCTTAATCATCACAAATGCTGTAAAATGTATTCAACTGTGCACAAGAAACCATTAACGAATACGAAAGAGGTGACTCGTACAACGACAAATTGTAACACATCGTCTGCCCCTTTCTCCTTCCCTGTTTCCGTTCGCACCCTCCCCTCCTCCAAGTCCCGCAGGTGGGGGAGGGGGGGGCGAAAGACCCACCCTGAACCAAAGTATGACAAAAGTCCTGTGTCATTTATCATGTTGGGTCGACCGCGGGGATCAAAGGTTTGCTTTTAAAGAAAAAGACCCCCACCCCTTTGAAACTGCGATTGTATGACAGCTACAGACCTGCCTCCTGTGTTTTAATTGTCTGTGCTTTAAATAATAACCTAACCTACCTGAAGATTGACTTCAGCATCTGTAACATCTCGTTCTCCGTCTCGTGCCACATGGTGGCGCAGATGTAGATCAAGGGGGTCTTGGGGCTTCGCCTTGCTACGGAAGCGGTATAAACACGTTCGGTGTCGTCGAACGATTTGGGGTTGTTCATTACCTCCTCCACGCGCATAAATTCCCGCACCTAAAAGGTGAATCAAATATTTCATTTTTTATTTTAAAAAAATTCAATCATCGTTAAGTTGTGCTAATGACATTTCAGTGCTTTTCCTTAATTTTTTTCTAAATCAGGTGAAATACATGTTGTCAAACAAGCTTCAATTTGCAATCCATAATTTTTTTCTATTTGAGAACCATAAATCATAAATGCCATGTATTCTTGCAAAACGCTATACATCCATGTGCGTCTAAAGAAATCATACACCAGTAGTGGTTTCTTTAGATGTACATGGACAGATGTGATAAAGCTAGAAGCATGTCACCCACCTTTTCGTTCCTCACAAACTCCCTGTCGTCTCGGCGCCTGTTCAGCTTCATGTCCTGTTCAAGAAGAATGCTGCAGTTGAACGGCTTCACAAACAGCCTGTTGTGGAAATAAGGATAAAATAAAAATACTTTTATTTTTACTGTTAGAGGAAGGAATATATCCAGCACATAAACATGTCAAATATACATTATCTATCTTTCTGAATCTTTACCACGAAACACACATTTTCTAAACAAAACTTCAATTCGAATTAGAGCAATTACTTGTTCGTTATTATTTGTTATTTTTGCTTATGTATATCAATTAAGAGAGAGAGAGAGAGAGTTAATTTACTTCTCTCCTTTGGCCAGTCGTCCAGATCTTGGCATCCAGATATAGAAAGTTATCCATGCAAGTGACGACCACCAAATTATCCATATCCAGCTGTATTTCTCGATCAAATCGTTGCTTAATTCGGGAATATTCCACTGCAGGTAAGGAAGAGTGAACTGGAAAAGCAAATTGATTCAATATGATTAATTATTTGGGGCATTAATGAAATTGAAGGGGTGGGGTCAAAAGAGATTTTGACACGAATTGATACAGTCACCGGGAGGGGGAGGGGGGGAGGGGTCGACTGATAGTTACAGGCTACCTAATAGAGAAAACTGGAATATACAGTATATAACCCCTGCTCTGCTCAAACCCTGCTCTGTTCATTTTGCTGTTAATGTATTTCAGTTTTTTCGTTATCTTATTTGGAAATGTGAATGTTACAGAAATGAATAAATAATAATCAAAGGAAAATGTGTTTCGTATACTTACAGGGAAATACGAATTTCCATCCAAGGCCAGGGGCATGAGTATGGCAACTGCTAAAGGTGTCGCCACCGATAGGGGAATAGCAAAACTAACCCGCTGCATCTGTATCTTACAGGCCGTTTTAGCGCAGTACCAGCAGACGAGACTACAGCACACCTGGTATGATGCAAACGTACGTGGAAATAGCATTTAAAAAGAAACACAAACAATACTTAAAATTACTTTAATTGTCATCATTATTTTAGAGTCAGCGTGTGAGCAATAAAAACAAGAAGCTGGTTTCTATAAGAATACTATTTGAACAATAGCTCTATTGTTAGAAGATGTTTTTTTTATTTCTTTTTTTTTCTCCAAGTATTATCCTGATAACATACTTAAGGAGGGAGTATCTGGAAAGCAGTTAAGACCTGGGTTTCCTTTGATTCATTTTACAGGTGCATGTAACATAATATAGTGAACAAGATTTCGGAACTTCCGGAGGATATCAACAATTTTATTTAATGTGAACGTTTCGACTGTATGGTTCACAATTGGACTGATTTGTAACCCACCTGTATCAGCATGGCAATACCTGCTTCCCAAGTGGCTGAAGAAGGATAAGGTTTTCCTTCGTAGGTCTGGTTGTTAATTCCCTTACATCGTTGGAAATCCAATTGGAACAGGTCCGTCATATTAAAGCGTTCTGCTCCAACGGGCAGTGCCAGCATTAGTAGAGGGGTCATAACTATCTTCCACACACTTATAAAAAAGTAAATTTTGTTCTTCGCTTGGCGTATTTTTTTCTTGTGTTTTACTAAAGCCTTATGGATGAAACCACGATCTGGGAGAGTGTTAAATTTGCTAGACTTGCGGTCAACCCATACAAAATTTTCCCACCACGATAAAGAAATGAGAAACAGGGCAAGGGGTACGAGCCACATTCTAATTTCCGGGGTAATGAGAGATTCTTCATGATGAATATTATGGGTCAGATAATGGAAAACTGTTGTATCGGTCGCATTGGGTTTTGTCACATTTTTTGTTGATACTGTCTCCAGTGTAGGTACAAAAAACAATGCTGAGAGCTGAACTAGAATCGCTACTGAGTCTGAGAATATGTGAAGAGGGCGGTACTTCTCGACGTTGGCACGTGGGCGCAAGAGAAGCTGAAGAAGGCTGGGTATAAGCGCCACTCCGTGCATGATGAGCAAACCTTGAATGATGTCAAGAAAGGGAAGGATGAGGAAGACGAAGATGAACAGTCCAACTGAGTGACACGTTTCCACAACAAGAACCTGGAAAACAACAAAACATTACATAACAAGGACATTCAGAACAAGTTAATCTGCGGACTAACCGATCTGCAGACTAAATATAGCCGACTGATTTAAAAGCAGAGGATTAAGCGGCGCTGCTTGTAAGTCAGCCATATTGAGTTGGCGGATCAGTTAGTCCTCAGATCATCAGTTCTGAATGCGCTAATAGATTAATATATCTCCACATAGAGATAGCTTTACCGCTGACTCTCTTTCTCCACAGGATGACTTTAAATGTTCATTTGTACCTCAACTGTGACGGGCGCAAGGGTGTTTGTTCTGTTTGTGATGTACGTAAACAAAAAGTCATTAATATACTGAAATAAATAGTTACTTATTCATGATTTCAGTTTCGAACTAATGATCATCAAAAGATCATCCTAAGAGAAAACACCTATTTTGATGGGAAAACAAACACACAAATAAAAGGAACAGCAATGGGAACTAAGGCAGTCCCTACGTATGCAAATATCGTCGTGAGACATTTAGAGAAGCTGTACAGAGAGACAGGAAATATATTTAGAGATGCACTTAAAATAAACTTAATCCAAAAATGGACGCGATATCTGGATGACTGCTTCATCTTCTGGTCTAAACCAGAAAACGACCTCATAAAATTCCATCAACTAATTGTATCCATCAGTTTAATTTACAATGGAAACCAGAAAACGTGAACTACCCTTTTAGATATCTTTAAAAAGTTGTCACAAAATAAAGTAACTAAAGATATCTACTCTAAACCAACACTATAAAAAGACGGACACTCACCAATACCTAAACTTTCATTCCTGTCACCCATCCCATAAAAAACGAAACATATTGTATGGCGAGAAGGGTATGTGCGATAGTCACTGACTAAACCCTACGGAAAACTAGACTATTATGAAACGAAAGGATTCCTTGAAAAACAAAATGATCCTATTTCATTTATCCTTGACGGGATAAAAAGGCAAAAATAACTTGGGAGAACAAGAAAAAAGGGGAAAACAAAGGATGGGGAAAACATTACCCCTTATGTCAACACTCATGATCCAGGAGTACCAAACGTTTCCATATAATAAAACCAACACTCCTATTCTGATGGCAAGCGATAAATTGAAAAACCTAGTGAGCGGCAAAATGATAACAAATAGCAAGAGACAACCCAAAATCTAAAAAAGTTTTTAACAAAGGCAAAATTTGACTTTAACACACAAACAACATTCAGAGTAAGCACATGTGGAGATTCACGTTGCGGCAGTTGCAGTAAAGACAATTATATTACCCAGAAACAGGCAACACGCAAACTTTCAGAAATTAAAATACTTTCAAAATCATGCCAACATGACTTGCAAATCTAGGGATTCAATTTTGTGTACAGCATGTCCTACATTTGTAGAAGAATTATATTGTACAAACTGGTAATACTCTTGCGAACGGGTAAGGGCTCGCAAGCAAAATATCAAACATTAACATCTGAGGCAAATTCCATTAAGTGGACACCTAGAATCCTGCGCTGGAGGTAAATTTCAAATTTTTCCCATCTACCAGACTATCGAGCCGTAGGAGCTTACCGTTGGGCTTTAGAAGAACAATTTGTTAAAAGAGTCAAAATTGAATGTGATATAATCCCCTGTAGCACTAAAATTCCAATAAGTCTACTTACCGCAAAGAAAGTCCCCACACTTGGCCACAGCGTTTTCTTGAAGAGAACCTTGAATAGACACTGCATGAAAGTTAGAAGATAGGGAAAACACATGGTGACTGCAAGTCCCCATATCCATCTCACGGAGACCTCACCACAGAGAACCCTATCCGTCACGATGGTGCTTCTGTTAACCCCTTCTTCTACTTTGCAATCCGTCAAATAGGTGCCGTTGTTAACCACTGTAGAGTTTGTCGTATTCCCAGACTGCTCAACCTCATTCCCATACTGCTCAACGTCGCAAGTTATCCACCTTTCTGTCCTCGACTGGGCCACCGAGATCATAAGCGTGATTTTATGGATGACGGTCGACCCGAGGATGAAGAAGAGGAGGAGCCAGTATACGATCACCTTGCAGACCCGCTTGGTTACCTCTAGGCACCAGCTCTCTGAGAGTTCTTCCTTGTCCGGAGAAGTGATACGGAAAATGTCCCAAAGCTTGGCGGCGGGTCCCTTGGGCCTGTGAAATAATAAGTACTTAAATTTATTTTATTTATGAACTGCTTAAATTAAGTGGGCTTTCCCAGCGTAGAGAAGAATACAGAAAAGCTGATGATTTTCGAGAATTTGGGAAACAAGAGGAGGGGTGTTTTAAATTTGTTAATCTGAATGCATTCAGCCAGATTCCCCGTGGAGCTTGACCGATATACGTAAAATGATAGTTTCGTTGGGAACGAGCCCTTAGTGTGTGAAAAAATTGACGAAATAATAAATACACTGGAAAGTACATAAATGTGGAGATATTCAGACAGGATATTAAAAAGATAAATTTTTAACTTATCCATTATATTACAATGCACAAATGTGAATCAAATGAAATAGACATATGAAAGTCTCCTCATTAACCCCAGCGAAAGTATAAGTAAAGGACAAACAAATATGGTGTTTGAAATTTGGCCGGTAGCGGCCGCTTCTATTTAAAGATCCCTCTAGTAAAAGAATTGTGTCAAGTTATTATATAGCATTAGATAATGCTGAATTAATTAAAAATGCACTGCAAAAATTACTGACGTGGTTAACGATGTTTTTAACTAGATGTATCACAGTGCAAACTTGTTGCTCTTGAAAAAAAAAACAGCAACGTGCAGAGAAATGATATACCAGTAATAGAAAAAAAGACATCATTGGCTAGATGATTTTGTGGCAAAGACTAATTTAGAATAATACAACAGTTGTATTGGTCACCCAGTTTTTCACAGATCAAACTGTCAACTGCGATGCACTCGTGTGTTGTGAGGCTCCCTGTCAAGTTGCTCTTGCTCAATACGTTAGATCTGTGGTCATAGTGTTTCTAATTCATTGCACATTGAATTAATTTTTTTACATTCCACGTTTATAGTGCATGTTCAGGGTCAATTTTGACTTGATTATATCTTTGCATAAATTTGCCAAATGGATAACTCTATTTCTATGACGTTAAAACGGAAATTGATTGAAATGGAATATTTCAACCGAAGTCATAATAGTCTCATTATAGTGTCATCTAAAAGTTAAGTCTAGGCTTTCTATCGTTACATACTTTAGGACTTCTACACAATTACTGAGAAAACGTGGAAGAACTGTTCCGATACCTTTCTAAGAAAGTACCCTGTTAAGTGCAGTTTTGATATGAATGTATTATTGGCAATCGTTTCTTTCTCAGAGGCAAAAGGGGATTCAATTTTTGCAATTTAAATACTTCTGTCTGAAATAATAAACCTGCAAAAAATGCTGTGAAACGGTATGCTAGCAATAGAAAAAAGACTGTACATCATCGTATTGAAAATATAATGGGGAGATAATTTGTGACATAATTTTATCATTTACAATAATAACGGCTGTATTGGTCACCAAGTTTTTCACAGACCAAACTGTCAACTGTGATGCACTCGTGTGTGGTGAGGCTCCCTATCAAATTTTCAATGATCAATTTATTTTCAAATGTTGAAATGTACCCAGTAGCGATATCTCTTCTTAGGCAAATGTTTACATAGAGATAACGTTGTTGTAACGGACTGGCTACGTCATCACAGTTCTTGGAACTGGTATATCTACTACACAAACCTGGCGTACTCAGAACAGCCCTACAAAGTCTCTTTTTAGTTCAACAAAAAGGCGCTTATTAACAATCCCTGTTATGTTTTTGTTACACGATAAAAATGTTTACGTTATGCGATAAGCGGAGTGGACGCACCACCCCCCTCCACCTCCCCCCCCCCCTCCCCCAGCTTCAAGAGGCAAGGTCCAACACTGGGGCATTAATTTCCCAAGGTTCCTTATTAAAAGTTCATTCTGTATTTCTTACCCCGCATTTAGAGGAAAGGTTTCAGGATTAGGGGCAAAAGGTGTGAACAAGTGATGTATGCCTACAATGTAATCACTGGCAGCCCAGATAAGAGAGATAAAAAAGAAAAAGGTCCTATGTGTGACTCATGATAATGATCGATTGGGATTCAATAAGTGGAACAAGGAAGTATTGAGTTTCAGCGTCTGTTGACAAGGCAACAGAGGTGGCGGGTGAGCAGGTGCGTCGATGGATGTACGTGCCTGTCTGCACCTATCCGGGCGCGTGAACACTTATCTTAAAACTAGACAGAAATTCGTTTGATCTATTTGTGTTTTTGAGTCAAAACTTTCATTTTTGTGTGATGGCAAGTGTAGTAACAAAACATTTTGTGAAAGCTCGGTGCACTGCTAAAAATGGTAGCGGGTCTCCGTGGAAAAGTGATTTTCAACCTGACATTGATATGAAGGTGGCTTTTAAAATTGTATCCTGATAGTGTTTTGCCATTTTTACTAAATGAAAAAAAAAACAGTTTGGGCGATATTTATTTTTAGCTCTTCTAAACCCTTGTTAAATCTACGATGTAATTTGAACGCGTGGAGGAGAGCAGTCACCACTAGAGATTGACAAGATAGTTGGCTAAAACCTGCAGCTCAAGATAAGACCCGTACGAACTACTCAGCATTCTTACAAGTTGTATCTTACCATTTAGTTATAATATTTTATTAGTAATTCAAGTAGTACATCTGTTTATTATATTGAGATTGAATTAAAAATAATCCAATCGAATAGTGACAAAACCTGTCCTTCTGTCTACTGAGAGTCAATGAAAACGCGTCATTCATTTATCAAATAATATTTTAAGTTCCTTTGGCACATTAAGAAAATAACAGTTTTCGTGTGGAATATGTGAAATATGAAATAGTGGTCAGCCCACTCTCTTATGACCAAACAAGTGCATTTGTATTCGTTTATATGGTTGGAATCGATTCTAGGTAAAAAAAGTACAATAAAGTTTTCTGATGCGTTTTCATTGACTGTCAGTATAATTTCAAGACATTTGAAAGGGAACCATGTCATGAAATTAGTTTCGCCATTTATGGAGGGCAGGGCTCTCCAATGAAGGTGACCTTTTTACAAAATGAAAGGTGAAAGATCAAAGATGAGGGATCATCTTTTGGTAACATTTTGTAAATAATCGAAAGCGATAAAAGGTGTTTTTGCATGCAGTGTATTTTATCATCATATTCTATAAAATATAAAACCATGTATAGTTTGGTAGTTCTTCCGCTAGAATGCAGACCTTAACTTCATAAATTTCGTCAGGAGGGAGAAAAAGAACTGGTCCTTTGCGGGAGCGATATCATAATGTGAGGTTTGTGTTATTTGTGTGGACAAAATTCGTAATGACAAAAACGAATTAAAAATACACCATTAATTTCAATACTGCATTGCATGAAAAAGAAATATTACTCTAAGATCGAACTGCTCGCGTTCGAACAGTAAAATTAGTGAATTGTGGCTTGAATTTATCATCTGACAAAAGTATTAAAATGGGCGCATACGCATCCTTGTACGATGTACATGTAAGATTTTTTAACATCATCAGATGTTCCTGGGCTCACATCTCATGATTTTGTAAAATATAAAAAGAAAACAATAGGTACCACAATTTCAGGTGATTAAAAAAAGCATCAATACAGTTAATAGAATACGGTCACTTTTTTTTTGTTATTTCTGCGTTGGAAATCCTCTCTTATTATCATGAAAAATTTGTAAAGGAAAAATAGGTGGGTTTTTATTTCTTTCCAAATTAATCATAATTTGTAACAGACTTATAATATGACATGAATCTTGTTAAGTTATTTAACTTAATAATTATGTCGTTAATGAAAAAGATCTGCAAAACGCATTTCAGAGGCATTCTTAAGTAAATGAAAAAGGCGCAGTTGACATTTGAACAGAACAAAAATTGCTGAAATAGTGATTAAAAGTTATTTTAATGGAGGATTTAGCGCTTATAAATCGTGTAACTCATCCTTTGAAAAATAAAGTAAATACACAAAAGAGAACAGAAGATAGGCTATGCACAGATATGAAGGATAACAAATAGCAAATAAAAGTGTTTTGATCACTCAATTTTGTAAAAAAAAAAAAAAAAAAAAAATAAAAAAAAACACACACACACACACACACCTGAGTGAAATTAATGTATAAACATAAAGTGACATTACTTTTGTTCATCTTCATTGCCAGTCACCGCAGTCGCATACATCGGCGGGGGGGTAATGGAACGCTGGATATACTTTTCAACGTTGTCCTTCGTCAGCTCAGGCAGCTCTGCCAATTCCGACTCGTCCTCCTCTTCTATGACACTATTATCGAATGAGTCGAAACTGGTATTTTTCATTTTGAGCAGTGTCGGATTTGTCTGCTCTATCATAAACAGGGATCCTTTCCGCACTTTAAAGTCTTCGTTCATTTTTGCAGTTTCCTAAAAAGCCAACTTGCCAATCAGCGTGCGTCCTTCCAAAGTGACGCCGACAATCTGCGTTTTGCAATTTAGTTACGAGAGGTTATTTAAAACGCTATTTATTTTTTTGTAAGTAAAGAACATTTTATTTGTTTGCAAATCTGACGACAGGGATTCATTAAGATAATGGAACCTGATAATAGTTAATAAGCAATGTCAAATTAATCATTCCCTGGTTAGATTAATGTTGGTGATAATGTAATCAATAAAAAACTATCGCTATTTGTAATAAACTTTTTTCTTGGTGTTTGATCAAACTAGGTAGTTTCTTACGAAAACTACAGTAGCGCATTTCTGCGATTTTTTAAACAATTTATTACCTTTATTTTCCTGCTATTTGGTCACGCATGGGCATTATGTAGAATAAACTTATCTGATAGCCGTTTCAAAAGCAGTGTTAAATGTCGTTTTAATATGAATGCAGTACTTACCACTTTTTCTTTCCAAAACGCAAACAGTGATTCATAAGATTACTTTCCCAATTAAGCTTTTCAACCTAAAATAAATCGCTGCCAAAAAAGGACACCCTTTGTATTTCAGGTCGGAGAGGGCAAATCTAATACCACGAGTCCCTTTGTAACAACGCTGTTAGGGTAATGCTTTTATTATTGGTACATAATCAAGACCTACATAACATACATGGGAATAAATTACTTCATCTATTACATCTTTACATTATCACAGAGGTAAAATCATGAATAGCTAAGTTTTTGTCTCCCTTCTTTCTGACTAAAAATAATAAATTAAAAAAATAATAATAAACAAAATGAAAAAAAAAAATAAATAAAACCAACAGCACTCACAGTATATTATAAGAGTTGAAAAATCAAACACCTAACATAATTAAATTTCAAATAAGGTACGATTGTGATTGTGGACGTGAATTATAAAAATGCAACCCTGGGACAAATGATCACATAAAATTCTTGCGAATTTTACAATTTCATAATCTACTCGTTGCGCAGTAGCAAAGCAAAGGGGTCAGGCGACTTGAAGTGCGCAACTCCCAGCAAACAGAACATTTTATAACGTTACCATAACATTTTTTAATATAAACGTTATGGTAACGTTATATTAACGTTCTGTCCATGCTGGGTCGGAGGTGTTACGACCAAAGCTGGAAAAAAATCTGATTAAACTTACGAAGGAATGCTAAGATAGTCGTCACTAATGATACTAAAAATACAGATTTGAAAAAGGTAATTAGGCTTTTTGCTCAGGAATGCAAGGGCATTATGCCTACATAATTCACAAAATATTACAATATTAACTTCGATGAGACAATACTAAAATGATTTATCAAAAAACCCTGAATTATCTTCTCTTCCAATACCCATTCGCAGGATAAAATATATTGTTAGTGCTTGTACATAATTCGTCATAACTGCAAAACTTTCACAAGGAATACAAGATCCACACGTTGTTAGCGGACACACGCAATTCTCTATCATTATAAACAACAAGTGTTTTTGTACAATGTAGAATACACTGAAGACAAGGCTGCCGGCTCTAGGAGTAACAGCAAGGTACCACACTGACGGAGTTTTTGTTCCTTTAGTGTCCAATCGTTTTTACATTACCATTAGACAACAAGACTGCAGGGTTTCAGAACAAGAACAATAAGGGCAGCCTCATAATGCTGCGATCACATGCAGATACATATCCACCCTATTTGCCACCCTATTTGACGTCATTTGTCGATGACATTGAGAAAAATGGTTGCCAGCCAAGCTACAGACCGTCTCTGGAAGGCTAAATTCACGTACTTGCCCATATTTGGAAAATGGGACACTGGATCAAAATGCAGACCTGTCCCAAGTAATCGTGGAAACTTCGCATCTATGCATTATAACAGTCCAGCAAAAATTTTGTTAGGGTTGCCAGCTCTCTTAATTACAATCAATCAAAACTGTCTTACAGCATCCCACTGAATCACTCCAACATTTCCTCCTCCTGAACACATTTTTATCCGTGTTCTCACAAGGACTAAGCTTGGCCAGAAATAAACTTCACCACAACTGACGTCACTGATTGCATTGAAATTCCCCGTTGCAAGTCACCAGAGGATGCAGTTATTCTGACACAGGTTATTCCATATTTTACTACAGCTTTGGGGCTGTAAAGACTTAAAAATCTCCTTAATCTCTCCCCCTCCAAACTCTTTAAGAATAAGTCTCTAGTCATCAGAGGATGCAGTTATTCTGACACAAGTTATTGTATTTTACACCAGCTTTGGGGCTGTAAAGATTAAAAAAATCTCCTTAATCTCTACCCCTCCAAACTCTTTAAAAATAAGCCACAATAATGCCCTCTAAAAGAGCTGTGAATAGTAAAAATTCCAGTATAAAAAGATATCTCTAAGCACCTTGGGTTGGGTAGTGATATAAATGTGCAGTTATTGGGGAGGTAAATGCTTTCAGTTTGATATCGGTTATATTGTTGTCAGGTAATAATGTGTAAGTTGACTACAGCTCTTTGGTTTCTGTACTGGCTGTGATGTTATAGCAATATGGCACTAAATGCTTTCAATTAAGTATAGGTTATGTGGGCATATAATCTGACCAACCACTGAGTCAACTCCAATAATCATTTCAGTGTATGGCAAATAATGTTTCGATATTTCTAAAGCAATAGTATATCAGCTGTCTTAGTTGAAGTACAGTAATTGCCAGTTCAAATAGTCAACCACTTACACAACACAAGCCACCCCTTCAATATCTAGATTTGATGGTGTACAATAAATATCTGTCTGATTCCTTTCACAAGGTGTTGCCTCTGCTTCACTCGGAACTACTCGGATGTCTCCGCACTCGACAATAACCTCGGACGTAATACGGAGTCAGCCATATTTGATTGTTGATTGTTGGGAAGGAACTACTTTCAACCTCGCGCTAATTTCAACGCCTGTATCTATTTATCTTTTAAATTAAAGTCAATCTTAGTGCATTGTTTGGCAAACTGTAAAGCATCATAAAAATCAGGGGTATTGACAGCCATCTTTATGAGCGTAATGATCGATTGAGTGAGAAGGCATTTCCGGCGGACAAAATGCATGGATCTGGTGCATATTTCTCCGCCTATCACATCCGAGGTTAGTATGGAGCTTGCGGAATGAGCCGTGGATTGCCGATTGGCCTCTGCTTTGCTGACACAACTGAAGTAAAGCCTTCAGGAAAACAGCCAAGAGATGGCGTCGGCTGATCACAACCCTGGTTGTGCTAGGTAAATGTGTGCATTACTTCTTCCACAGAAATGATCATTCACTGTCTGCGCCTTGGCTGAAGTAGTCGTCGAATGCTGACACACCTGTCTTAATCATATGTCATTTGTTATCTGTAGATATAATCCATTAAAATCCAGACAGTGGTCAACTGTTCACACTGGTGTCCAAATTGAGCTTCTGTTTTAAAGTCTCGTAAACTGTGAAAGATATAGAAACAGTGGGTATAACACGGACATAGTTAATGGTCAAGCCTCGAAACAAACCGTTCCTCAGACCGTCTTCCACCCAGATGGTTTTAAATGTCTGTCTTAAAGTCCTGTAAAATAAATGAAGAAGCAATCATGTCAAAACTAAAATCAATGAACACTGCAGGTAACGCCTGGTATAAAACTGCCTCCACACTGGTGCACTTGTACTAGAAATGTCCTACTACTGACTTTACCAGTCTATTTGCTTATTTAACATGGGGGAAAAAATTCTAAGGTGGGATGTGGAGCCCTTTGAAAGCTGGTTTGATAAAGTCAATCAGCATACTAGTCATCTAAGAATAAGTTAAGGTATTGATAATATCTTCTACTTGGGGTCATTCCAGCCAACTGTCATAACCAAGTACATTTTTCTTTTTTTTTTTAAAGCACAATCAATTATAAGTGCCAACTTCACACCTGAATTTATGACCCTCAGGTAGCATGGTTGCCACTTGCATCCTTCTCCGCGTGACGTCCAGCGGGTAAGTGGCCGTCTGAGCCAAGGCACCAGCCAAACCACCACACAGAGTTCTGGCCCAGATCTTTAACACAGGGTTTCCCTTCTGGTCTGGATAGCCAAATACATCTGGGAATTTCTGCAGGCAGAATTCTTTTAGGGTTTCGAAAGCAAAGAATGATAGTCCTGTAATATGATATGGATTTCTGTGTTAGTTTCTGGGATATGTTTTATTTTTGAAAAATGTCCACATAATGGGACAATCATACATCTATAGATGTAATCAGCAAAAAATATATCGGGGCTAAAACATGCTGCTCACAAGTGGTAAAAAATTCATGAAGGAAGTATCTGCTGTAAAGTCATTTCTTTGTAATTAAAACAAATATTTATCAATTGATGCTTTTTCAAAGTTTGAACTTCAGATAATAAATTATCCAGTTACTGAAATTTGGCAACCTAAAACTTTTAAGATGTCTTTGTTCACTTCTGAGTTTTCAGCAAGAAAAATTGTACAAAAAGAATTTTTTAAGAAATTCAATAAACTGCTTATGGCATACAGATGCAAATTTTTAAAAATTTGTTTGAAAAATTACATCAATTTAAATTTTTTTTAGTGTGTGGCAGACTAGTGAAGCATTCTAGAGTCATCCTATGTGGTTTTTAGACTCAATGAACAATTAAGGTGATAGCTGAAAATGCATCAATCTAGTTATAATTTTTTAACCTGCATAAGGAGCCATTCCCAGTAATGAAGGTGCTATTCCTGGGTAGAACCCTTTGATCCCATCACTGCGTTTGATGGACCATATAGTATCCCTGATCCCACTGTATACATGCTCTCCAGTGGTTTGAAAGGCAAGGCGAGTACGTATAACATCCAGTGGGTATGTACATGTAACTGCAGCTAACCCTACAGAGATAAAATTAACAGGTCTTGCTACAAATAACATATAGTGTAAGGCACAAAACATTCATACAAAGCCTATCATCTGGGAATAATACTAGTAAACATTTTTTCATCACATATGGTTATCATTTTACAATGTAACAAACCAAGGATGACCTCGGAAATGACAGCTTTGAACTCCTCTAAAAAATGCGTCTAAGAAACCTGCAGTCTTTTTTTAGTTCATGTGATAAATCTTTATTCTCTGTATAATACAATGGCTACTGTAAAGTATAAAGCTGGTGAAAAGTTTGACCCCAGTGTATCATATTTATTTAATAAAACAACAATGTTACATGTTAAGCAGATATTGTTTAGGAATTAAGAGCCNAATAAATAAAACCAACAGCACTCACAGTATATTATAAGAGTTGAAAAATCAAGCACCTAACATAATTAAATTTCAAATAAGGTACGATTGTGATTGTGGACGTGAATTATAAAAATGCAACCCTGGGACAAATGATCACATAAAATTCTTGCGAATTTTACAATTTCATAATCTACTCGTTGCGCAGTAGCAAAGCAAAGGGTTCAGGCAACAAAGTGCGCAACTCCCAGCAAACAGAACATTTTATAACGTTACCATAACATTTTATATATATAAACGTTATGGTAACGTTATATTAACGTTCTGTGCATATCGGTCGGAGGTGTTACGACCAAAGCTGGATAAAAATCTGATTAAACTTACGAAGGAATGCTAAGATAGTCGTCACTAATGATACTAAAAATACAGATTTGAAAAAGGTAATTAGGCTTTTTGTTCAGGAATGCAAGGGCATAATGCCTACATAATTCACAAAATATTACAATATTAACTTCGATGAGACAATACTAAAATGATTTATCAAAAAACCCTGAATTATCTTCTCTTTCAATATCCATTCGTAGGATAAAATATATTGTTAGTGCTTGTACACAATTCGTCATAACTGCAAAACTTTCACAAGGAATACAAGATCCACACGTTGTTAGCGGACACACGCAATTCTCTATCATTATAAACAACAAGGGTTTTTGTACAATGTAGAATACACTGAACACAAGGCTGTCGGCTCTAGGAGTAACAGCAATGTACCACATTGACGGAGTTTTTGTTCCTTTAGTGTCCAATCGTTTTCACATTACCATTAGACAACAAGACTGCAGAGTTTCAGAACAAGAACAATAAGGGCAGCCTCATAATGCTGCGATCACATGCAGATACATATCCACCCTATGTGTCACCCTATTTGACGTCATTTGTCGATGACATTGAGAAAAACGGTTGCCAGCCAAGCTACAGGCCACCTCTAGACGGCTAAATTCCCGTACTTGCCCGTATTTGGAAAATGAAATTTTGGAAAGATCTAAAAACTTGTGTAAATCTACAAGAGGGACACTGGATCAAAATGCAGACATGTCCCAAGTAATCGTGAAATCTTCGCGTCTATGCATTATAATAGTCCAGCAAAAATATTTGTTAGGGTTGCCTGCTCTCTTAATTACAATCAATCAAAACCGTCTTACAGCATCCCACTGAATCACTTCAACATTTCCTCCTCCTGAACACATTTTTATCTGTGTTCTCTCAAGGGCTAAGCTTGGCCAGAAATAAACTTCACCACAATTGACGTCACCCCATTTGATATACCCCGTTTCAAGTCATCAGAGGACGCAGTTATTCTGACACCGGTTATTCCGTATTTTACTACAGCTTTGGGGCTGTAAAGACTAAAATATCTCCTTAATCTCTCCCCCTCCAAACTCTTTAAGAATAAGTCTCAAGTCATCAGAGGATGCAGTTATTCTGACACCGGTTATTCCGTATTTTACTGCAGCTTTGGGGCTGTAAAGACTAAAAAATCTCCTTAATCTCTCCCCCTCCAAACTCTTTAAGAATAAGTCTGTAGTCATCAGAGGATGCAGTTATTCTGACACAAGTTATTGTATTTTACACCAGCTTTGGGGCTGTAAAGACTAAAAAAATCTCCTTAATCTCTACCCCTCCAAACTCTTTAAAAATAAGTCACAATAATGCCCTCTAAAAGAGCTGCGAATAGTAAAAATTCCAGTATAAAAAGATATCTCTAAGCACCTTGGGTTGGGTAGTGATATAAATGTGCAGGTATTGGGGAGGTAAATGCTTTCAGTTTAATATCGGTTATGTTGTTGTCAGGTAATAATGTGTAAGTTGACTACAGCTCTTTGGTTTATGTACTGGCTGTGATGTTATAGCAATATGGCACTAAATGCTTTCAATTTAGTATTGGTTATGTGGACATATAATCTGACCAACCACTGAGTCAACTCCAATAATCATTTCAGTGTATGGCAAATAATGTTTCGATATTTCTAAAGCAATAGTATATCAGCTGTCTTAGTTGAAGTACAGTTCATTGCCAGCTCAAATACAGTCAACCACTTACACAACACAAGCCACCCCTTCAATATCCAGATTTGACGGTATACAATAAATATCTGTCTGATTCCTTTCACAGGGACGATGTGATTGCTGACACAACTGAAGTAATGCCTTCAGGAAAACAGCCAAGAGATGGCCTCAGCTGATCACAATCCTGCTTGTGCTAGGTAAATGTGTGCATTACTTCTTCCAAAGAAATGACCATTCACTGTCTGCGCCTTGGCTGAAGTAGTCGTCCAATGCTGACACACCTGTTTAAGTCACATGTTAGTTGATTATCTATAGCATAATCCCTTAAAATCAAGACAGTGGTCAACTGTTCACGCTGGTGTCCAAATTGAGCTTCTGTTTTAAAGTCTCATAAACTGTGAAAGATATAGAAACAGTGGGTATAACACGGACATAGTTAATGGTCAAGCCTCGAAACAAACCATTTCTCAGACCATCTTCCACCCAGATGGTTTTAAACGTCTGTCTTAAAGTCCTGTAAAATAAATGAAGAAGCAATCATGTCAACAATAAAATAAATGAACAATGCGGGTATAAAACTGCCTCCACACTGGTGCACTTGTACTAGAAATGGCCTACAACCGACTTTACCAGTCTATTTGCTTATTTAACATGGGGGAAAAATTCTAAGGTGGGATGTGGAGCCCTTTCAAAGCTGGTTTGATAAAGTCAATCAGCATACTAGTCATCTTAGAATAAGTTAAGGTATTGATAATATCTTCTACTTGGGCTCATTCCAGCCAACTGTCATAACCAAGTAAATTTTTCTTTTTTTTTAAAGCACAATCAAATTTAAGTGCCAACTTCACACCTGAATTTATGACCCTCGGGTAGCATGGTAGCCACTTGCATTCTTCTCCGCGTGACGTCCAGCGGGTAAGTGGCCGTCTGAGCCAAGGCACCAGCCAAACCACCACACAGAGTTCTGGCCCAGATCTTTAACACAGGGTTTCCCTTCTGGTCTGGATAGCCAAATACATCTGGGAATTTCTGCAGGCAGAATTCTTTTAGGGTTTCGAAAGCAAAGAATGATAGTCCTGAAATATGATATGGATTTCTGTGTTAGTTTCTGGGATATGTTTTATTTTTGAAAAATGTCCACATAATGGGACAATCATACATCTATAGATGTAATCGGCAAAAAATATATCGGGGCTAAAACATGCTGCTCACAAGTGGTAAAAAATTCATGAAGGAAGTATCTGCTGTAAAGTCATTTCTTTGTAATTAAAACAAATATTTATCCATTGATGCTTTTTCAAAGTTTGCACTTCAGATAATAAATTATCCAGTTACTGAAATTTGGCAACCTAAAACTTTTAAGATGTCTTTGTTCACTTCTGAGTTTTCAGCAAGAAAAATTGTACAAAAAGAATTTTTTAAGAAATTCAATAAACTGCTTATGGCATACAGATGCAAATTTTTAAAAATTTGTTTGAAAAATTACATCAATTTAAATTTTTTTTAGTGTGTGGCAGACTAGTGAAGCATTCTAGAGTCATCCTATGTGGTTTTTAGACTCAATGAACAATTAAGGTGATAGCTGAAAATGCATCAATCTAGTTATAATTTTTTAACCTGCATAAGGAGCCATTCCCAGTAATGAAGGTGCTATTCCTGGGTAGAACCCTTTGATCCCATCACTGCGTTTGATGGACCATATAGTATCCCTGATCCCACTGTATACATGCTCTCCAGTGGTTTGAAAGGCAAGGCGAGTACGTATAACATCCAGTGGATATGTACATGTAACTGCAGCTAACCCTACAGAGATAAAATTAACAGGTCTTGCTACAAATAACATATAGTGTAAGGCACAAAACATTCATACAAAGCCTATCATCTGGGAATAATACTAGTAAACATTTTTTCATCACATATGGTTATCATTTTACAATGTAACAAACCAAGGATGACCTCGGAAATGACAGCTTTGAACTCCTCTAAAAAATGCGTCTAAGAAACCTGCAGTCTTTTTTTAGTTCATGTGATAAATCTTTATTCTCTGTATAATACAATGGCTACTGTAAAGTATAAAGCTGGTGAAAAGTTTGACCCCAGTGTATCATATTTATTTAATAAAACAACAATGTTACATGTTAAGCAGATATTGTTTAGGAATTAAGAGCCAGCATTTTCAGAAACATTTTGTAGGACTGTATGTATACTAGAATGGGAGTAAAGATGAAAATGTTTTGAAAGAGACTGTATACAGTATTTTGGTACCAAAAAAAAAAAAAAAAANTTCATACAAAGCCTATCATCTGGGAATAATACTAGTAAACATTTTTTCATCACATATGGTTATCATTTTACAATGTAACAAACCAAGGATGACCTCGGAAATGACAGCTTTGAACTCCTCTAAAAAATGCGTCTAAGAAACCTGCAGTCTTTTTTTAGTTCATGTGATAAATCTTTATTCTCTGTATAATACAATGGCTACTGTAAAGTATAAAGCTGGTGAAAAGTTTGACCCCAGTGTATCATATTTATTTAATAAAACAACAATGTTACATGTTAAGCAGATATTGTTTAGGAATTAAGAGCCGGCATTTTCAGAAACATTTTGTAGGACTGTATGTATACTAGAATGGGAGTAAAGATGAAAATGTTTTGAAAGAGACTGTATACAGTATTTTGGTACCAAAAATAAAAAAAAAACAAACCATTAACACATTTTGGTGTCTTAAAAATTTTAGTTCTCAGCAACCATGATCCTATTTGTCAAACTCAAAACCATTGTATTATTACATTTTTACACCAATTATTTTCTTCACTAATTTTTAACCAAGTGGTATTTATATTCCTTGCATTAAAGAAAATAAGAACTTTCTAAACAATAATAATCTTATATACTGTCCTTTTAATAATGGGCAAATAAAATTATTACTTTAATATTAATATATTAAAGCCAAAATTCAAATCATATAAACATTTCTATACTATAAATACTTCTTACCTGCTATTGATCCAGCTGTTAATTTAAGAAAGTGTGGATGGTCAATCTTACCAGGTAGATTCTGAATAACAGAAATCACAGGGTGGTATAACATAAAAAGATTAAAAAAAAAAAAAACTTAATTCTATTTTATTAGGAATAACAATTACAGCAGCCACTATTTAAGTCTATACAGTCTGAGAATTAAGTATCAACTGGGGACAAAATGGACAAATTTTTTATGATAACAACATATAACAGTCACTGCAACTTGGTATGAACTCAGTATAACATCAATAATGCGCTAATATACACAAAAAACTGGTCCAAGAAACAACTTAAAATATCATCATCTGCCTCATTGTAACTCCTTAAAACACTGCTTCCACATAATGTTGACTGTATAAAAAGACTTGCGGCCTTCATATATCATGCTGAGAAATTAAGAGATGTTTTTTTAGATAAGTGATTTGTGTCGTTTATGATATATATTCCTGTGTAGTCAGCTCAGTATTATTATAAATAGAACTCAATTGATGTACTCTTGACCTGTAGGCCTGAAATACAGTGAAATAAACAAGATAAAACACTGCTTCCAACAAATAATAGCGATAAACACATTTTGTACCAGAAATGTGCTGTCACACACAGGGTATGGTTCAAACACTTCAGTATTCATTCACAAATTGCAAAACATCTCACACATTTCAAATACTTTATCATAATATAAGATGTCTAACACCCTTTACCTGCCTTAATAAAAAATTGTGTGCGTGGCTGTGTTTGTGCATGCGTCGGTGCAAGCATGTGTCTAAAAAAACAGTTTGGAAGAACAATATTGTTTGAATTTTGTGTAAAAAATACTGTTACAGTATGAAACAAACCTTTTTGCAGAACTCAAATGTGCCAAACTGTATGGCTGAGTAGGGGAATATGCGTATCATCTGGGCAAAGTTACTTTTGTATAGGCTGAAGAAACCTTCTCTGTCTATAACATGCTTTAATGTGGACAATATACCTGAAAAAGATAAATTGCATTAACTAAAAAGAGCAACTATAAACTGCATTAACTATTTTTAGAACACAAAAAGGTAATGTCCTAAAATCTATTAATAACATATCAGAACATCACACATAACCTTTGTTTATGCAAATATTGTTTATGCTTTCAGTTTGCTTTTCAGAGGTTTTTTATTTAAATATAAAGAAAGGTGGTTAACTTGGAATATTTTCACCAAATGGATTTTAGATGGCTAAAAACACAATTTTATCCAGTTTTGACGGCATTTCTTCATCTGATCTCTACATTTTTCACATCTATTAAAAAGCAATATTGCTGACTTTTCTGAGACATCAGTTATAAAAAAAATGTCACATGTACCTAAGTGTTTATAATGTCTGTTATGGGCCTGTAAAAGGATTTTAATTCTGTCCAGTGGAGCCACAAAGGTCTTAGCGCAGCACCCTGCAATCCCTGAAATTGAAAAAAAAATTTATAAAAAATATAAGAAATAGAGAAGTGATAAAAATCATTTAACTTCAAGGAAAAAAAGCACCTGTCCTGTGGCACGGACTACTACGTCCATGGAAATCTAAATGACCAATTCTCTACTCTCTACTCAGTCTGGTAAATAAATCATCTTTTTACTACTTCATCCATTTACTAAGTTCACGGAAGACATTAATCAAAAGATCATGTGATCATGTAATCTTTTGATCTACCCGGTATATCTTACCTCCAGCAAACAACATCTTGGCATAACGTGAATATTTATTCCCTTCATTTTGCTGCTCTATTATCATACTAGGTGCCTGAAATAGAAGAGTTAAGTCAGTGGATTTTTAGCTGAAATAAGAGGAGTACCTACTTAATGATTAAGTGGGAAGGCCTATTCTCTGAGACTAAAATCAGAAAGGAAATATCATGACTTTACAATCTGATTCCAAAACTCTGTCTCAAAAGCCTATATCAATAATACGTTTTGAATAAAACATTCAATGAAATCCTATATTCCTTTGTTACATTCTTTGGCTTATATTCAACTAGCAATCTTGGATCCATCATACATATCTAATGGGTCCAAGCAACAACTTAAATGTGAATATGTAAAACTAACAGATGTTAAACTTTTCACAAGTAATTTTCATGAAAATCTTCCTTATCAGATATGTCAGAAAATCTGCGGAAAAGAACTATAATGATAAAACTATTTTATTCTAATAATATTGACAAGTACAAGCAATTAAAAGAAAAAAATGTCTATATAGTTTACCTGTAGTCCAAGTTTTTGGATATAAAATCCTTTTTCACTGTTACACATGTTGCCTTACTTCACAAAAGAAAGACACCTATAATGTATGGCAGTTTTGCCCTTTTCAATATTACTCACTTTATGACTAACGAGTAATGCCCATAGTACATGTAGTAGTACGTGCTCCGTTAATGTGTTGGCGGTGATATAAGACATTTATTTGGATTTAGTGCCAGTATAATTAGCGAAAGTGGGTGAGCCTTAATATCAGCACTCCCTGTGTGTTTCTTTCAGTTTGGGGGCTTAAAAGGTACTTTGGGCATTGTTTATCACTTCAATTTTAATGTGTCGGTGCACGTAAGGAGGAGCTACTAGTTCTATTTGAGTCAAACTTTGCCGTTTTCGTAACATAAGATTATAAAAATAACCATGGATTGAAGGAATTTACAGTCAAACCATACATAAACAATAGTTTTCTTACCTTAATATCGTCAGCTTCTGTTGTATATAAATATGAAACATATCCCGGTTTTTTGGGACATTTTCTGTCAAGAAAACACTAAACAGCTGGAGAAAGTGAGCATTGATACTTTATAATAAAGTTTCGGCAAAATATATCTTCGTCTTCTAATTAGTAGAATCACAGTATGCTCATATTATTAATTATTATGTGATATATAAAATATTTTGATCTACAGTTTACTATATTATATTCACTCATAAAAAAGTTAAAGATATTTTTTTACGAAAATATACCCTTTCGTAAAATTGTCTCTGAATTCAAAATGGATGAAGAGAGACGGGAGCAAAGGAGGAGGCGAATTTTGAGGAATTCAGAGGACCGTTTGCGGAAAATTGTATCTGGACAGAGAAAAACAGGTAGGCTGAAACATTCATAGCTGATGCCAGTACCTGTAGTAATATTCATCTGGGTGTAGTGTGTGTGTGGGGGGCTTCCAAGCTCAAAGGTACACCCTGCATTGCCATGTATTCATATAATTCACCGAGCTGGAGGTAAAGCCAAAAATTGAGGCAAGGGTTGGGGGGGGGGGGGGGGCAGACGTGCCTAAACTCATTTACAATGATCAGTATGTTCTAATGACAAAATAGCAACGTTTTGTGATCAACATTCAAGAAGAATGAAAAACAGTAAAGTTTGAGCTTGTTCAGCAAAGTTTAATTTCACATCTTATTTGATTCAAATGTATTTGGAAACCGTATAATTGGGTAGTAAAAAAAAAAAAAAAAAACAGGGTGTGACATAACTATTATTTGAACATTATGCAGTCTTGCAAATAAGGATAGCCCATTCCACACTGCAACAATTAAGTACTCTAACATATTTTGACAGGACAGCCATGCATTCTCACTAACAGTACTGCTACCAGACTTGGAGTACCTTTGCACTGCAGCACTGACTCCAGTTTTCAATAACCATTTGTTTCAACTCCAGAAGAACAGACAGAATCTCACGAGGTACACAGAGACAGTGGTTCACCATCAAGTCCCACTGGTTCAGCTGATAATGATCCCCTCAACCAGACCGAATCCACAAACCATAATAACAGTGCCAACTTGGACAGTATTATCCCTGACTTAAACAATAGCAGAACTCAGGCAGAACCCCTGACAGAGAAGGCTACTGAAACATCACAGCCTGGTGTCAGGCAGAGGATAGGTACCAAGTCTTCAGAGCAATCACATTCTGTCGACTCTACTGAATCAAGACTGCTCCATTCAAATGCATATGTAGATGATGGCTCTGAGACCACGTCTGATGTCCAAGTACTAAAAAGCAATAAAGATGCAGCTCAATTTCTGGGGATTGCACGTTTTGTTGGGAGTCTACTCCTTGGTGTGGTGCTTAATTTGATGCTCCACAGCATTGGTTTACTGATGCAGGTAAGTTATAGTAGTGGGGGATATAAAAGACCAGATCACACCTGTCATGTTGAAATGACTTTCACATCTTATACAATTGAATGTTAGTGTAAGAAAGATTCCAGGAAGTAACAAAGTATAGGGGAGTTTGGGGAGAGGGAGGGGAGAGATTTGGTTGAAATTCTCAGGTTTGAAGACTTGATCTTAATAAATAGAAAAGTACATTTTTACCCCAGAAAATCAATAGAAATTTGATATAGAATAGTATTAGAAATATAAAATTGCTGTTATTGTTAGTAGACATTGTTACAAGATCAATTATCATTTCATCACAGTTGTTATGAATTTTGATCTTACTGAGATGTTTTGAATCACTGTGTCTCACAGCCAACTTCTATATGTAATATATTGATATTAAATATACATGTGAGTGTTCATAATTTCAGTCAGTCATCCTCCCTTTCATACTGGTAGAAGCCACAGTGGTGTGGTATCAAGTTACTCACAAACTGGTAAGTGGACTCTTACAGAATGCTTTTTAAAAGTATGAACTGTTCATAATACCTGATAAAGTTAAAATTGTCAAGTCAAAATGTGTTATTTATGAATAAATGAAAACATGTTTTAACGGATTTTTTAAAGCAGTATTAAACAGAACACTGTCTATTCAAAACTGACCCACAGTGCATTTGATTGTATTTACTAAAAAAAGTTATAAAAAGACAAATGCAAATTTTATCAAAAATAACAATTGCCAGGTTTGTCATTTGACATTGTGTGAGTCTAGATAAGGTAGGACTTGAAGTATAGCTCAATTGCTCTCAGATGTAAAGAATACATTTAGAGTAAAACTTAATCATTTATCAAAATGCATATTTTTTATCACTTCTTTGAGACAAAAATGATCATCAAATTATTAATGAATGAACTTGAATATATATCATCCTGCACAGTCACACACAGATACTACGAGCTCCGACTTTAAGCCAATATCCTATAGATTTTGTCAGGAAACTAAACTCTGTCATGTGGCATTTCATTTAATTGAAACTGGATGTATCAAAATAAATGCCTTGATGACAGAAATTGTAACTTACTTTTTTCATCGTTGTATGAAAAATGTTTTTAGCGCTTTTATGTTCTCTTTTTCAGCACAAGACGGGTGTCCAAGGCAGTCTTCTGACTTCAGCACTGCTACTCAATGGTATAAATAAAGACATAATTGACAATTACAACACAACTATGGCAATAGTTACAAACATTTTGGAGGACTTTGCTACAGTGATGTTCAGTTTTGTTTTGATACAGGCAGTGAGGAGTTGAAATCTGACATCTTTATAATTTATGCAAGTCATTTCTTTTTAACACCAGTCAAACTGGTCAGTCCAGATAAATTTGGGCTTAGTGTGTGAATTTCATATTATATTATTAAGATTTATCTCACAAAAAGCAAAAAGTAGATTTAACTATTTTAATTTTAACACGAGTTGTTTGCCACTAACTAGCTTTGAAGCTAGAATAACTTCAACTTCCACAGGAGTAATGTGCAGTGCTACAAGTCCATAGCTGGATTCAAATTCAATTACAAATTTGTTATTAGGGTTGAAAGCTTTTGCCCTAAACCAGCAAGAATGTGTTGTGCTGCATGCAGCAGGCCACTTACCCATGCATTACAGATCACCAAATTGCAATTATTGTCTTTTGTTGGTAGCAAGTTGCATGGTGTTATGATTTAACATTAGAATGAATTTTGTTTATTTGGTAAAGCTGCGCATTCACATGATAATTCGGTGAATTATGATGAGTCTGTGAGAGACCCAGATGTAGCATGTTACCTAGAGGTATGATATTAAAAAATGCGGGAGTGCTGCAATTGATTCAATTTGCTGAGTGATTTAATTTGTGGAGCAATTTAATTGGAAGGCAGCAGCACTGGTGATGAGGATTGGATAAGTCTTGCACTGCAATTTGCTAGGCCCCAAAAGTTTTCGTAACCCATGTATATCTTTGGGTTTGCATGCATTCACTACGGCTCTCACGCGTTCTTCTGTAGGTCCTTTTCTTATCCATAGAACTCCAGTTCATCCCTGCCTAGGTTTGTGGATTGCAAGGACTGGACGTAGATGTTTCCTGTTCTGCTTCATGCACTACTATGTTGTCAGATATGTTGGTTCCTCCCTCAATGCCAGCTAGGGTATTTGCTATCTTATGTTTGAAAACTTCACTTGCTGAAGATACTCCATATCTAGTCCAGCAAGAGTCACAGACGTAGTAATGGAGGGCGATTCTGGTGCTAATTTAAGCTGATCATATCCCATTTTCAGATCCAGCTCTGAAAATACAGCTGGGCCATTAAAACTGCAATACCTCATCAACAGTAGGTATATGATAGCCTCATTGCGCAGGAAGCATATCTATGCATCATCTTATATCACCCCTGGTTTAGGTACAATCATCGCAGAATTCACCCAGAGTTGGTCCTTCTGCTGGTTCAGTGAAGTCTTGTGTAATGGTTGTACCACAGACTTCACTGGTGGGTCTGTGTGTATTGTAATCTCAGTATCTTTAAATTTACTGAGGCCTGAAAACACATCAATGAATTCTGTATATAGCGAGTCCTCATATATATTGTTCACATCTATTCCAATTTTCATCATTCCTAGATTCATTGCGGTGTTGTGCCCTATTAGTGGCACCCTGTGCCCTTTCACTACTACAAATTCTGCATGGCCACTTCCTTTGCCTGCCTTGATGTCACATTCAAATGTTCCCTTCACTTCTAAAGGTTTCTCAGATGTGTATGAATATAACTGTTCATTTGGGGGTCCTGCACAAGAGTCGCATTTTATTCTGTTGGATTTCTGCATTTCCCATGTGTTTTTATCAATGATATTAAAGTAGGAACCCAAGTCTGGTAAAACATTTAAATTCATGCTGCCAGTCTCTATTTCCACCATGTCTTCTGTGTGAATTGCATTGGTTCCCACACAAAATGCATATGGCCTACTTGGCTCCTCGTGGTCATAACTGTCATTAACAGTTTTAGTTTTGCAAATTCTTGCAAAGTGATCCAACTTCTTACACTTGTTGCAAGTTTTTCCTCTAGCAAGGCATTTTAAGTCATGGTAAAGTGTCCCTTACCTCCATATCCATAAAATTTTTTTTCAGTTGGAGTTTTTTTTTTTTTTTTTACTGTGTTGCTTATGTCTGAACTTGTGGCATTTGAACTGAGTTGGTTTGTCTAATGACTTCAGTTTCACCATACTCACTGTTTCTGGTGTTCCACTTCCATTTCCTTTCATTTGTGACTCAATATGCTCGCATCAAGTTGCCAGTTCTATTGCCCTTAATGTCAACTCCTCTCCTTCCTCCAAGACTTGGCATTTAATGTAGCTAGGCGGGCATCTCCATATTATAGCACTCCAAATGTGCTTGTCTGGATTGTCACCATAGCCGCAGTCTCGGATCGCCATCCTTAATGTGTAGCAAAATGCTGCGTAGTTTAATTTTCTTTAGGTTCTTGGAACGTCTGTTGAGCACATGAAATGTTTACTTTTGGTACAAAATATTACTTTAAAATGTTAAGTGCCGATGTATAGTCATGTTTCTCACCGTGTTTAAGAGAGTCCTGAAAATATCTTGTACATCTGTTTCTGTCAAATGTAACATAAGCACGGGTCTCCTGGCATGCATTTTTAAATGTCTTTTTTCGTTATTTGTTTTGTCTGTTGGTTCTGAAACAATCAACCCTTTCCTGCTAGCAAAAAGCTCAAAACTATCTAACCAGCTTGTCCAGTGTGCTCCTAATGTCTCTGGGTTTCTGTATGGCTGGAGTTTTGGAATTTTGCTTTTTTCCTCCATTTTCTCATAGAAAGACTGCTTTCAGTTTTGCACTATAGTTTGTCCTGGTCACCACTGTTGATGCCTTCCAATTAAATCACATCACAAATTTAATCATCTTGTCGAAATAAGATGTCCTTTTGATTATTTGAAGAAAACATTGACCGAAATTTGCAAATTATTAATTTCAGTAAATCTGCCATCTTAATATAGGCCATTAAGATGATATTTGCAGAGAGAAAAAAAACCCTGACGAATACTGAACCATTGGTGACATTTTCTAAAAGCTCCAGTGGCAGTTGAAAGAGTCTTCTTGCTTTGATGACTCAAGGGTGCTGGATGGGTCACTTTTACTTCAATTGAGGGAACGGGTTACAGCAAACTGGAGTGATCAACAACTGCAATAATCTGAAGTTTTGGGTGGAAGCTTTAAAATTTCTTGCCTTATTTTTATTATGGTTAAAAGTTATGACAGGATATTGTTTGTACAAGACAAAATGAATGAACAATAAAAACACTTCCAAATTTCTCAAGTTTCATTTTATTTTAATACTATTATGTAATGTGAAACTAGATATAAAACTTCTTAAAATGAAGCAATAGTAAATAATAGCATCAAGTGCCTAAGTAAGCATTTCTGACAATTATACATTATTATTGTTTTGCACACATGCATCTATGATATCTCAACAGACAGCACCAGACCTTGCTGAATTTTTGCAATTTTAATATTTTGAATGAATTGAACTTATCTAGGTACCAGTTTCTCAAAACAACTAAATATGGTCTCATTTTTTTAAACTTGCGATTTAATGTTCTTTGACCCAAGAAAAATGTGTAGAATCCACTCAAATCACTTCCCCATGTTTTAACCAACAGCTACTTGTGGTGGACTGGTTTAGACATTTCTTTAAGAAGTCGGAGAAACCTGGATTTAAATGTCAAGCCACTGTTATGCAAGGCTTGCATCCGCAAGAAGAACACACTTTTGCTTTTTCAATGCTTTTAGTTCTTTCTTCAAAGAACTTCGGCAATATTTGATAGTTGACATTAAATCCATTGATTATTGTCAGTGGTGAACTAAAAGATACTGCAGGTTTAACTTTGTGATATATTTGTGAAAGTGGGCCAACATTTGTTCTCCAAGAGGCTGATAGCCCAGTGTAACAGGGGTTTTAACACCAACTTATGGTCAAACTTGCTTTAGTGAATCCCAGATGGTCCATCTTTATGAACTAACAGCACATATAGTCAGCAGTGTGTAATGAAACCAATCTCTGAACCTATAGAGAGCCACTACCAGTAACAAAACACTCAGCCAAGAATGTCCATCTTTCCAGAAGTGGCAACTGAACTGGATGCGGTCTTTAAGTGGTAATGAATCTTGTGCAAGGACAGTATTTCCCAAAGAGAACTGTTTACATTCTTTTTGGTTTCTGTTATTCACTTTCAGTATGCCTATCTGATCATAGATCTTTCTACCTCTGAAACATTATAATACATATTTTGATTATTCAATGAATGAAAACTGTAATCTGATTGGTTAAAAATACAGTAACTTTTCCAAATCTATTCATAGATCATATATACAGCACTTTTTGTAGTTCTGAAAACTGGACAACAGGCCAAGGCTCCAGTCCAATTATAGAAATGGCTCACTGGTTTTTGCACTAGCCTAAACAGCCAAACAAAGTGGGGAAAATATATAGGTTTTTGTCCATCAAGTGCTATATTTGTTACCCCATGTTCACATACTACTGAACTTCAGTTCATGGCAGATCAACAGAAACCGTATTGCACATGAAAATAAGGGATAACTAATAACATTTACAGTACATTGCCAATCATCAATGATAATGATACCTTCAATTGTGTCTTCAATCAGCAATCCAGACATCATAAAACAGAGAGTAACAGCTTTATCACCTATACTCAAGATTAAAATAAAACGACACTATTCATTAGCTACTCTGTGGATACAATGACATATATACATTACAATGTAAAATGTGCACGCTCGCTTTCTATGGAATCTGTTACAGCAAGTAACAAAGTGCACAAGCTATCATTTCTATCTCTATTTCATACTATATAAGGTAACAATGTACACTAGACAAGCACCTGCCAACTGCATCTCAACTAGGCTAACTTACAGACAGAATAGTGTTCATATGTTAAAAACCTAACAATTCATGTTAGGATGTAATAACTATCAACACCAAACTGCAATATGGTAAAATTTAACAGTAGTAAACGTTTTTATAACATTTTAAAAAAATATTTAATAGTTTATTTAGATACAAGTGCCTTCATAAATTTCAAGAAATTCAAAACAGACAAGCAAAACACCAATTCTACAAATAAAAGGCAGGTATAAGTACATTTAAAACATAGCCTAGTTGCCTTTATGCTAATGTTGTGATTTTTTATGGTGAAAAAAGTTATGTGCAACTCCAGATCATTTACTGCTAATTTAAGTTTATTGCAACAATTATGGAAAATAATTTTATTTTAAAATCAATGACAGAAGGAACATTTCTGCATCAAAATAATCCCAGCTTTACCAATAATTTAAATCTGTTGTTAGCTTAGACCCCATTCCCATAGATTTTAGATCGATCTATCCCTGTGGAGAGTCTCACTAAATTACTGTCAGCTTAGCCGGCTTAAGCGTCTGTCCCGCCTACTAAAAGCTGTTAGGGGGTAATTAATTATGGTGCGCGCTCGGCTGACTGCAATTTAGCATGAACCCCCAGGGAGTTAGGTTGATCTAAAACTAAATCTCTGGGAATGCACCCTTAGATTTTCAATGTGCTGTTTGACACATCAGCTACTCCCCTACCTCCCCCGTGTTAATACTGAAAGTTGGTACTGATATGTCGTTTTGAAGGCATGTAAATGGTAAAGCTGTCAATTAATTTGAACTGATAATTTGATAGCATAAAATACCCCCCAATGAGATATTTCTCCAGTTTCCTAAAAACAAAAATTGCACTTATTCTACAAATCGAAGGTGTAATATCTGACAATAGATGATGGCATTCAATGTGATATAAAGTTAAAATAGACAATTTTAAGTTTCCACTGACTCGGTCAACTTGACTGCTGATGAACTAGCAGTTATATAGCTACAAGTACTCATTGCTGGATAATAACATAAATGACAGGTGTCTCACAACTTCTACTAAGACTTACATAAAACAGAAAATGAAAGACAAGCCTGTATACATAAAGATAAAATCAAATCCATTCCTTAATACAAAAAGAGTTACATGGCCAAGTTTTGAAGACAAAAAAGCAGACAGAATTTGCCAGAATAATTATTTTTGTCCAAAACCATGTTTCTTCAATCCCTAATCTCTTCCTTGGAAATAATGGATCTAGAGAGGAATGCATTATCTTGCAAAAGAAATAAAATTGGCAGTGTTTGGCAGAGACAACATTTTTACAATCTCTTAAAATACTCCGAGATGTGTGACTTATCACTTTAGTTGTCTTTTCTTTGGGTGAGACTACTCTGACCATGGCTGAGATAACTTGGTTAGCTCTACAAACTGAGGACAAAAAGTTTCAAGGTTCATCTTGAGTTATTTTTTGAAGCTTTTTCACCCTGGTAACTGCTCTCTTACGTTGCTTTTTCTTTTGTGCTGCAGCTTTCTCCTTCTTCCTTATTCTCTGCTGAGCCAGTTTTTCTTTTTTCTTGGCTTTTGCTGCAGCCGCCTTCGCAAGTTTTTTTGCTCTAGTCAGTGCCATTTTTTCACGCTTTTTGGCAATAATTGCTGCATTTCTTTCTTTCTTCAATTGTTGTGAGTAACCTCGCACTAGCTCTGGGTGACCTTCTGCACTAACTTTCTGTTCCCATGCAGCAAGGTTCTTCTCATATTCTGCCTTTTCTTCAGCATATGCCTTCTTAAATTCCTATGGAGGAAGATGCATAATATTACATGAAACTAGTTGTATCACCCAGAATCTAAATTAACACCTACAAGAAATAACTAAAGATGAATTTTGTAACAAAGAGAATCACAACCGCATCTCTATGTATGCAAAACTTCAATGCCATTGAAGTCTGGGACAACATTTTTTTAACTCTTTTCTGCTTGCCCTCTGAGACTTGCCCTCTGACCTAACAATCTACCAGTCAAAACAGCAAAAATATTGGACCAGTAACTGTACAAATTTACATTTAATTTTATCGGACCAGATCGAATTCCAATGATATTTTTACCTGGAATGTGTGTAAACATGGAAACCTCCAATCATTACCTCCATTATTTGTTTTGCATTCACTCAGCCAGATAGATATGACCTACTAGTCATTATGTATAATAATATGTACCTGTTTATCATCTTCAGGCATTCTCCTCCACATCTGTGCACATCCAGACATATACTGCGTCACTGGGGCCTCCCCACGGTCCACCATCTTGGATGCCGCAAAGCGCAGAAATGCACTCACAGGCTTCTTAGGTTTCTCTAGCTTGTGAAGCATCTAAAAGGCACAAGACTCAGGACGTACTATGTGACATATCAGATAGGAATTTGAAAGACCCATTCCTGTTGAAACGCATTTTGACTAAAACCCCAAACACAAGTTGCTCTGAAATCAAATTAAGCCACTCTGTAGCCACAATTGCAATTAAGTCAAATTCGTAGGAATCTTACCAATGAAAGAAAAGACAAAAAAATCTAGATAATTATAACCATTAAGATTTCATGATGAAAGTAAAACAATCTGATAGTGCACATTTCAAAATTTCATCTACATTTCAACGTCACAGTTAACCCCAAAATGATTAAAACACATAGTTCCTGGAAGAAGTTACAAGGAATGTGCACAACTCCCTCTAGCAACTACACAAATCTAGGTGACAGATATACATGTGCAGGGCACTGAAACTACAGACACACCCTTACACCCCATTTCCATAGATTAGATCGACCTACTTTAGATCGACCTAACTCCCTGGGGGTTCACGCTAAATAGCTGTCAGCCGGGCGGACACGAAAGTTAATTATCCCCTTACAGCTTGTAGTAGGCGGGACGGACATTTAAGTCGGATTATCTGAAAGTAATCTAGTGAGACTCCCCGCGGGGATAGATCGATCTAAAATCTATGGGAATAGAGCCTTACTTACAGCCTTTGTTCTCCTTCTTTCCAGTTTCTGTTTTCTGGTTCTGCCTTGCTCTCCCAACATCTCTCTTTGCTCTGGAGACAGACTCTGTATGAAGGCCTCATACTTTTCATGGTACTTATCAAGCTCCTTTTTAGCTGCATTAACATACATCTAGAGGACAAATACAAAAATAAATAAATACTAATAATAAAAAAATAACATTAATAATAAAATCAATCAATAAATAAATAATGAATTAATAAATAAAATAATGATAATATTAAAAAAATTTGTAATCCATTATGTGCAAAATTTTTTTGGACATTCGTTATTTTGTATTATGCCATATATATAAATAACTGTGTTGTTAGAGAATTAAAACTGTGCCATATGATGAAGGAACTATCCTCATGAAAAGATTCAAATGCTAGATTATTTTTCTTAATTTCATAACATTCCAGACTTCTGAATGGATACTTACCGCTTTCTCATCTGTATTCAATGATTTCCACATTGCACCAGCAATTTTTGAAAGTTCAGTGTTTTTGATGTCTGAAAGAGAATCACGTAACTTACATGAGACAGAAGAAATAACTTATGAACTCCCAATTGTAAATTTTAATCACACAACATTGCATCAAATTTTATGGGCAAATCTTTTAATTTTCACAACTTTTGAAGAAGAATATGGAGAAGTGGGCCTTTATCAATGATAATAAAAACAATCTATACTTGTCCAGAGGCCCTGCTTAACCACCAGCCAGAGCAGAAATACACTGGCACCGAAAAGTCAATAAGAAGTTTACCTTTAAATGGAAAGAGTTAAGAAACTGGCGTGAACAAGGACATGCATAACTACTGAACACTTACCTGGATTCTCATTTTTGATATCGGACCTCTTGGCATTTAAGAAACTTAAAAAACTAGATGGGGGCTTTTTAGGTGGAACTATTTTTTCTTGACTGGCACATGCTACTGGTGTGTAGTGGATGCTCCTGGAAAGAAAACCAAATACAAAGTTCATGCTCTCGCCCTAAATGCGGTTGGTTTAACAGATTAACAAGCCTCTTGGCACTGAGTAAAATACAGAAAAGCTGGTGATTATACAGGTGCTTGGGAAACAAGAGGCGGCGTGTTAATCTGTTTAACTGATTGCATTTAGCGAGAGTTCCTACAGAGTTGCATCAGTCTATGTAGAACAATAGTGTCATTGGGAATAAGCCCTAAGATGAGACCCCTTGTATTGTACTAAATCCTGCCTATCGGTTGCCTAACTTGAAGCCATGCCCAGTTACACTATGAGTGCATTCCAAGAATTTTAGATCGATCCATCCGGATCGACCTAACTCCCTGGGGGTTCACGCTAAATAGCTGTCAGCCAAGCGTGTACCATAGTTAATTATCCCCTTACAGCTTTTAGTAGGTGGGACAGACAATCAACTAAGCCGGCTGAGCTGAGAGTAATCTAGTGAGACTCCCCACAGGGATAGATCGATCTAAAATCTGTGGGAATGGGGTCTATAAGTATAGTAAAGTAAAATACTAAAGAAACAGTAATCTCATTTGAGTGAGCACCACTGGGCTTTGATATCTACTTACCCTTCTAAAAGACCAGATTAGTTTAGATTGTCACATTGGGGCTTATAAAAGAGATAATCCCCACCCCCCTGGGGATGGTAAATATATGTTAGGACCAGTCAAACTGGTACAGTATAGAAAACTGCACTGTTTTATGTGACAATGATCTAACAGTACACCCGATGCTCCCTGTCAATATGGTACAAAGGTCAGTACATAAATGCCAGCATAGACACACAACACTATGCCCAAACCTAACAATTAAACAAGCATATATAAAATTTGGGTGACCACTGCCTGCTTCAATTATAGGCCTTTTTATAATGAATACCAAATTAAATGGTGCAGCTTTATTCCTTTCAGTGTTGTTATGTTCAAAGTTTGCATTATAAAACCAGATTTAAAAACAGTCTTTCTATTTATGACTCTGTTCACATTCTGCCTCGAAGCTAAAAACAAATTATCCTGCGATAAATGACATTTTTCCCCCAATTTACCAACCTTTAATCTTCCTTTCCTGACACTCCCCATTACTCTGTCACTATTTTCGAAAAAAGAAACCTGCATTTAAGGGGAGGTTTTTCAAATACACCGTTCAACTTCCACTGATTCAACTTCCAGGTATCACAGGACACACACTCTCTTTGAACAGACTGTGTCAAGATGGCAAACTACCAAGGTTGGACAGGGGACAGTGAATAATTGTCTATGTTATACTGATTGGGGCTATTTATCTGTCATTTTATGTTTTAAATGTTTTAATTGCCCTCTGATAAGTCCAACAGGAAGCGATCCATGCACTTGGAATGTGTTAAAAACCCTACTTTGTGTCGTTAATTAAAATATATATCAATTACTGTCACTAATAATTAACATTAATTTAAATTCTTGCCAATATTTTTGTTTTTAAATTTTTTTTAAATTGGAATTTTTTACAAATATTTTTATGTCTGCCGATAATAACCGCAGTTGACGGACCTTTGAAGACGCTCACTTAATTGACGTCAATGGTCCTCGCAACACAGCGTTTATCAGGCTAGTAGCGTTTATATTTCCTTGCCCCTCATTCTTTTCTATATAACAATGTAAGACAACAAATTCAAACTTGCATTAGTTTCTAATTATTTAAAGAAAAGGTTCTTAGGATTCGTTTGACGTGCAAAGGCTTGTCAAATGAAGTATCTTGTCTCGCTGAAGTCTCTCCACGATTTGCATCCCAAAGTAGCATAGCATAGATTAAGATTAGCATAATAACGACTCCTTTTCTTCATATCTCACCACATACAAACCTTGCATAACAAACAGAAGAACTTTCAAAAAGTCGCAACTTTCCGAAGCTGAGCTTCAAAACACGCAGGGCCATTTTCCCTCCTTGGAAAACTAGGTCACTCTGCACATGTTCCGGAAGGCTGGAACGAAAAACAAGAATCGAAAACAAATTGATATCTAGAAGAAAACCTCTAAAAAGTTCCCAATTGACAGATAGCACATACATGTTTTCGTTGAAGTTGTACATATTCATCCAAATGCTATTTGCAAAGTTATTTTAAAATTGAATTAAATTATATTAGTCTTGTAAAATGAGTGCTCGCCCTGACGTCAAACACCCACACAAACAATCCGAGCAGAAAAGAAGACGAACTGCAGTGAAGAGGAAAGTAACCTAACCATATTTTGCAGTTGATAGACGACTCAGACAAAAAAA